GCGGGCCTGATGGCCCGTGTCTCGCCACGGGAGAGGAAAAAGGAGAAGAGGGGGATGAGGTGCGGAGGAGGAGGTGCTGAGGCGAGAGAGGGCGGGGGGAGGCGGAGGAGGGGAGAGCGGGGGAGGGGAGGGAAGGGGGCAGAGGGATAGGAAGAGCGGTGCCGAGAAGGAGGCGGGAGATAGAAGGGAAGAGAGGGCGGAGGAGGAGGAAGGGAAGTGAGAAGGGGGGAGAAGGGCGGAGGAGGGAGAGAGCGGGAGGAGGGGGGGAGGGGAAGAGAGGGGAGGGGAGTGGGATGAGGTGAAGGGGGAGGGGGAGGAACGGGAAGGGGGTAGGCGATGTGGGGAGGAGGGAGAGGGGGGGAAGGGGGAGGAGAGGAAGCGAGGGGGGAGGGAGGACGGGAGGAGGAGGGGGAGACGATGAGGGAGGGGGTTGGCAGGAGAGAAAGAGCGTGGAGCGGGCAGGGGATGGCGAGGGAGGATGGGGGGAGGAGGATCAGAGGGAACGGTGGGGGGAGGGGAGGGTGAGTGGGGAGGGGAAGGAGCGGGGAGGAGGAAGGAGGAAGAGGAGAGTGAGGGAGAGGAGAGGAGGGAACAGGGGGGAGGAGGGAGGGGAGGAGAGCGGGGGAGGGGGGGGGGGGAGGGAGGGAGGGAGGGGGGGGAAGAAAAGGGAGGGGAGAGAGGAGAGAGAGGGGGCGGAAGAGAGAAGGAGGGGGAGAGGAGGACGAGAAGTAGAGAGGGAGGAGAGAGGGAGGCGAGGAGGGGGAAAGAGAGGGAGGGAGGGGGAGGGGGAGAGGAGAGAGATCGAGAGGGAGGGAGGGGGAGAGAAGGAGGGGGCAGGGGGAGGGGAGTATGAGAGGAGAGGAGGGGAGGGGGAGAGGAAGAGGGAGAGTGGGGAGGAGGAGGGGGGACGAGAGAGAGGAGGGAGGAAGGGGACGGAGGGGAGGTAGAGAGGGGGGGATGGGAGGTGGGGAGGGGAGAGAGGAAGGAGGGGGGGGGGACGGGAGAGAGAACGGAGGGGAAGGGGAGGAGGGGAGGGGGAGTCTGAGCGGGGGAGAGGGAAAGGGAGCTGGGTAGGGAGAGGAGGAGAATGAAGGGAGGGAAGAAGGGGATGGGAGGCGGGAGCGTGGAGGGAAGGGAGGGACGAGGGTGGGGAGAAGGAGGAGGAGGGGAGGCCTATCGTCGGGGAGGAGAGGAGAGTGGGGAGGGCGCGAGAGGAGCGAGAAGAGGAGAGAGGAAGAGAGAGGGAGGAGGAGGGCGGAGAGACGTGAGGACGTGGGGAGAGGAAGGGGAGGAGAGGCGAAGAGGCGGGAGGGGAGAGCGGGGAGAGAGAGGGGAGAGGGGGGGAGGGAGAGGAGGGAGGAGAGAGGAGACGTCGGGAGGGGAGGGAAAAGAGAGAAAGGGGGAGGAAGCGGGAGGAGGGGGGAGGGTGAGAGAGGGATTGGAGAGGGAGGGAGAGGGAGGGGAGGGGATGAGAGGGGGGAGGGGAGAGAGAGGAGGGATGGGGGGGGAAGGGAGGGAGGGGGAGGGAGAAGAGGGGATGGAGGGGAGAGGGGTGGGAGGGGAGGAGGAAGAAGAGGGAGGGGAGGAGAAGAGAGAGGAGGGAGAGTGAGGGGGAGGGGGAAGGGGCAGAAGGGGAGGGGGAGAGGGGACGTGGGGGGCGGGGCGGCGGGAGAGGGGAGGGTGGAGAGGAGGAAGGAGAGGGAGGAGAGAGAGGGAGGGAAGAAGGAGAGAGGGGGAAGGGGGAAAAGCGAGAGAGGGGAGAGAGGGAGGAGAGAGGGGAGGAGAGGAGGAGGAGGGGGAAGAGGGAGGGAGGCGGGGGGAGGAGGGAGGGGAGACGGGGGGAGGAGAGGGAGAGCGGGGGAGGGAGAGGAGGGGGATCGACAGGGAGAGGAGGAGGGAGAGGGGAGATGCGGGATGAGGTGGATGAATGGGAGGGGGAAGAGACAGGAGAGGGGGGAAGATGGAGGAGGAAGAGAGGGAGGGGAGAGAAGGAAAGAGGAGGGAGAGAGAGAAGGGGGGGGGAGAGGAGGGAGAAGACGGTGCGGGAGGAAGTAGGGGGAGAGGGAGAGGAGGGAAGGGGAGAGGAAGAGGAGGGAGAGGGGGGAGAGGAAGGGGGGAGGAGAGGAGAGAAGGAGAGGAAAGGGTGGGGAGAGGGGGAGGGAGGAAGGAGGGAGAGGAAGGGGAGGGGGCGTGGGGGGCGGGGGGGGCGGGGGAGGAATGGGAGGAGAGGATATGAGGGGAGAGGGGAGGAGCAAAGATGAGGGGAGGGATGGGGGAGCGGAAGAGCGGGGGATGGGGGGAGAGGAGAAGGAAGAAGGGAGAGGGGGAGTGAGAAAGGGAAGAGGAGAGGGGAGGAGGATGGGGAGGGGGATAGGTGAGAGAAGGAGAGAGCGGGAGGGAGAGGGAGTGGGGAGGGGAGAGGAGGGGGGAGGGAGGTAGAGGAAGAGGGAGTGAAAAGGGAGGTGGGGGTGAGGCAGGGAAAAGGGCGTAGGGGAGAGGGAGATGAGAGGGGAAGGAGGAGGGAAGGAGAGGGAGAAGAGTGGGGAGAAGGGGAGGGGAAGAGATGGAGCGTGGGGGGAAGGGGAGGAGAGAGGGGAGGCAAAGGGGGAGAAAGGAAAAAGAGGGAAGGGGAGAGAGAAGGGGAGAGGGGTGAGGACTAGGGGAGATGAGGAGAAGGTTGAGAGAAAGGGGAGGGGGAGGAAGAGAGGGAAGAGGGGAGAGAGGGAGGGGAGAGGGGGAGAGGGGGAGGGGGTAGGAGCTCGGGAGAGAGGCTGGAAGAGAGGATGAGGGCGCGGAGAAAGGGGAGCAGAGGGGGAGAGAAGGGCAGGGGAGAGGAGGGAGGGGACGGAGGAGGGGGGGGGCGTGGGGGAGAGGAGAGGGGAGAGGAGAAGGCGGGGGGGGAGGGGAAGGGGGGAGCGGGAGGGAGAAGGATGGAGGGAGGGGGGAGGAGAGAATTGAATTGAAGTGAATTGAATTGAGATTGAGATTGAATTTGAAATCGAATCGAATCGAATCGAATCGAATCGATCGAATCGAATCGAATCGAATCGAATCGATCGAATCGAATCGAATCGAATCGATTCGAATCGAATCGAATCGAATCGAATCGAATCGAATTGAATTGAATTGCCTTATTTTTACGTT